AGTCTTACCCACTCCCCAAAGCACCTGAAGCAAATCTATTATTACGCCAGACTGTCAATGTAAATGTCTGTGTTAATGAATAATTTCAGAAGTAAAAACTAACCTTGTACCGCATGAATCGTTGCACATTGAGGGACTATTTTCTCGGTAGAGCAACGGAATTTTACTCTGCTCCAGTAGTTGTGATGATATGATCGTGGCCATATCTGGAACAGGCTTCTTCCTGTGCTCTATGTGTCACTATGGCAGCTGCAGGTAAACAAACTATTACAGTTGGTGCCAGTTGATATCAGTCCGCCACTGCTGAGCTTTCTATCAGGAAGTACAATTCACTGCTGCTGCTCAGACATAAATCCTTCAAATGCAAGGTTAGTTTTACTTCTAAAATTATTCTATCAACACAGACATTTACATTGACAGTCTGGTGTAATAATAGATTTGCCTCGGGTGCACTGTGGAGTGGGTAAGACTGTTTTTAGTGGCATGCTAACTATGGCCATTGACTTGCGCTAGCCTAGCACCAGCGACCTCTGCAAATACAAGGACTGGATGGATTATTTCAAAAAATGTCTCCACACATCTACAGCACTCTGGCTCACTAGGAAATGAGGCCCTATGTCCAAAATTCCGAAGCGTCCCTTTAACATTGTAATTATTTATATCCATAACATTTTTTAAAACTCCGCAACTTTAATAATTGTCATGACATAATCGCTATTCGCAACTATTATGGCCATGATCATTGTGCCACCAAATTTCAGCATTGTACCATTGTTAGCCTGCAGTAACATTAATGGTAACACATTTCATGCAGTTGAAGGATCAGTTTGTGCAGGTTTTTGAGCGTCCAGACACAGTGAGAACATGCAAACAACACATAAAAAGCACCTCACCATCTAGGAACTGTATGAGATTGCATACTTGCTGAGAGAGAAGAATACTAACCACTGTGCCACTCTGATATTTTGTTTTGTTTATATTCCATGGATATCACGGCTCAAAAAATGGTGCCACATGACCATCTCCATAGTTGAAGGTTTTGGAGGACTTTGGGCCATGATACAGTTGAATGTTTTTGACCTTGTGGTGGACAGTCCTGTATAATTCAGTGTCCCCTCTCCTGGCCCACGACACAGAGGAGATGCATGTAAATGATAGGGCCCTTGTCATTCATCACTGTCGCCACTTTGACACCGGGGAGGAAATAACAGCCCAGCCAGACTGTGTCACTTCCTGTGTGCAGCTACTTTGTCTTTGTTTAGCCCAGTTTAGGTGGCGAGGCGAATTCCAAATGCCCTGCCACACGCCCACCTACAGCACCTGCCTCCATGGCTTTCATTAAAGGCCCAGTACCCGTTTTTTCCTATGTATGTGAGCAAAATATGACTTGTATGTCCCAGTACAGAAATATTATACAAGCAGGTCTTAAGGTCAACACAGTTTGCATCTGATTATAGTGTGTTTTATTGTCCGATAATCAGGAAGTGTGCATTAGCAGGCTAGTTGTTAAACTCATCACTGGGAATAATCAGGAATGCATCAGGTAAGTGAGGATTCATTTTAGACCTCTGCAAACCGATTAAATAGACTAGTCAACCAGATACAGCACCTTGGATTGGATTGGAGTTTGTGTGAACAGAAATTGTACAATGGTTCCTGTGTTTACCATAACTTAAATTTGTGGGTATTGGCTCTGGTCCGGTAGTTTAGCTGCATTTATTGGACACGGGCAAATTCAAGACAGCCAAGGAGTCAAAGGTCAATAAAGGGTCAATATAGCAGATATTACTTCCTGAGCTAGTATATTGTGGGTTCAAATTTATGTCTGCGGACTCCATCATCCATTTTATAATTCACCAGTTCCAATTGATCTATTATGTATAAGTATCTGAAATCTCAGTGAAATGTTCAATTCGCAAGAACTTTGTATAGGATCTCTTTAAAACAGACCTATTGTGCAAAATCGGCTATTTAGACCTTTTAAACATGTTATAGTCGTTTCCCTTTTGCATTTAGTCTCCAGAAATCTTTATCCTACTGTACTCAAGATGTCATTGCTCCCTCATTTTCACTGCCATTGCTATACACCCACTGCTCTGTACTTACTGTGCTCTTCAGTTTTATTTTCTTAATCCGTGATGCACATTTGGCAGTATCGCATAGTCATTTTGGTACAAAAGAAGCCTGCATGGCCATTTGTTGTGATGACGTTTATGGTGACATCAGCAGACTTGTTTTTTATTAATTCCATCCATGCATCCATTTTTTCCGCTTATCCGGGGCCGGGTCACGGGGGCAGCAGTCTAAGCAGGGACTCCCAGACTTCCTTCACCACAGACACGTCCTCCAGCTCCTCCTTTTTTATTAATTTGTTCAGCAATTTAATATGTCCAAATGTATAACGATATAGAAGATTCAAGCACTTTTTTAAGCGAATGTTTTCATCCATGAAGAGCACTCATTGTTCACATTTTTGGATCCAGTAAAGCACACACGGCCTTACCGGTCCTCTACTCTGTCTTATTTACAAGAGTCACCAGGAAACATATTCTTATTCAAGGAACATAAGAACCATATCGAGCGAAAGTAAACTATAGCAAACCCATTGGAATCATAACGCTGTGTGAATAGTCAATTGTAACACTGTATCACTGTTATCACAGTTCTCTATAGTGGTTTTGAAGCTGTCAAGTGAGCACGCCATATTATTGGTTTCCATTTTATATAAATATGCTACAGTGTCTAGACAGTGTCCTATAAATCCATGCCCCAGAGCTATCACAACAAGTTTAGAAAAGGGAGTGATGTGTAAAGACAAAAGGGCACAGAGTTTTCATGACTGGCTCTTGATGTGCACAAATGGCCGCTCTCATGCTGACTCATGTCCTCATTCAAGCGAGCACCACCATCACTCTTTTCTGACAGCTGTCCAAAAAATGAACTAGTGCTGGGTTGCCCACTTGTCCGGTCTCCACGTCATATTTCTTTCATATCATGATTCATATTTGAGCCAAGGCGAGGGGGCCGTACCTTTGAGTGAAGCTGTTCTCCTTCCTGCGACAGTGAAGGGTGACGATCCGGTGGCCCTCACTCCGGACATCCTGGCTCACAGTCCACAGAACCGGGTTACTGGCTCTTGCCCCCAAAAACGCCACGCCATCCTTCAGTCTCACTCTAAAAGATAAAAAAAAAAACATTAGAAAAACACATAAGAGAAGGTCGTAAGAAAGACATCGGGTTAGAGGAAACTCTGCGAGGTCGTACATTTAGTGTCATTGTGTCAGTGGCAATTTCAGCTGCTTCTCTGGTGCACAAAGCCTGGCAAAACGAATCAAATTAGATGGTCCTTTAAACCGTTTCACTCAAAAGGTCAGGAAACAAAAAGCTTCAAACATCAGTCTCAGAAGGCAGTAGACTGGATACTCCAAGTTATACTCCAGATAGGCACAAGCAGAAATCCATTTACTAATTGTTTTAATGCGAATTAAGAGGAGATGAATTAGGATGAAAAAGACTGAGCCGATTCACTGCACCAAGGATTTACTTTTTAAATGGCTGTCACAATTACAATAACCTAATTATGGTTATTTCAGCTTGGCGTGATCATTTAGCATAATCACTCAAACGATTTCCCTTCAACCAGGTGAATTATTTATTGTGTAATAGAGACAGAGACAATGTCATTTTGGGTTCTTTGTTTTCCAATTTCGCGCATGAGCAAATGTGTCTTCTGGTGTCAACATGGGTTTTGTCTTAAGCCTAACCATAAACTTCAGGACTCTCAGTTTGAAACTTTAGCCTGCGGCGATAGCAAATAAAAATCTCAGCACTACTGACAGTTTTTGTCACAAATATTTTGAGCAAAAACAGCAGCACTGATTCATACCTGTATATTTAGACACCCAGCAGGATGCAATTTGTAGTTCTCTTTAAATGGGATTCAAGGAGTGTTGAAAAGTACATTTGACGCAATGCTGTAATTTCAGTGTTTTTCAGCATAATTGTATTTTTCCTTACAAAAAAATAAAACCCACAATTTAGAGAATATAGAGCAAGCTCTTACTACCTGCTGTGTGTTTTTTTTATTTTATTTACCATTTTAGTTTGGTTGGCAGTTGCCAAGACATTTAAAATTTGTGCAAAGGTGGTTTGAGATGGCATTTTATAACGGACCCAGGAATAATTTTATTAAAGAGGAGGTTGTGCAAAATAGACTTCCCTCATCAGAAACATGCCTGAAAGGGTTTTATACATCATCCATGTATATTTGAGTAATCTAGTGATCTCTCCTGGACCCTATTTGCACCCTTCTTACAGCCTACATTACCTATGCTCTTGCATGACAATTTCCCACTGATTGTGTTGTGAAAGCACTTTGAAAGGGGTGGGCATCAAAAACGAAACTGAAACTTATTAATAGGGTAAAATGAAGCAACTAACTACCACTACAACACAGCACAAGGTGGAATGGAGCATTTTGAGCTTGACAGAGATTGACAGATAGACTAATGATGCAGTGTAACTCAAATGTGTGAATGAACTGATGAAACAAAACACAACTTCAGGTATGTTTTTGACGAGGGAGGTAACAACATTCCAACATGGTTTAAAACTCAATTTTGTGTAATACAAAAATAAAAATTATAAAATTAAATTAAAAACAAAGTAGTCTAAAGTTTTTTTCACTACTAAACTCACATTTAATCAGATCAAGCCAACCAAGCACTATTAGTATCACTGCGATGACACTAAATTATCAGTAGTTCCACACATGTACCAAAACATTCCTTGATATGCTGCTGGATGCTTCAGTTTTGCAGTATACATGCCAAATTGCATGCTAGCACAGTGCCCAGTCCCTCTCGAGCCCACTTGGTCACAGCCGGTGGAGAGCGGTTCAATCACAGCAAAAGCATGACCCCTTTCTCTGCTGTTGTCCTCCTGCTCCGTCGTGCGAAATTACTATGAAGTACATCCACCGCTTTCCGGAGTTTCTCTTTTACAACATGACAAATTGCTCTTGTTCAAAGCCACTGGCACGAACGGCAGATTTTGATGGCCAGGGAAGAAAGATGGCAGGGGGGAGTAAGTGAAGCTATAAGGTACATTTCTATCCTGGGACTTTTTTCTATACATCTGAATAATTGAAAAAAAAAGTCTGTATAGTAGCACGGTGATATACATGTACAGGATGAAGGGAATATTCACGGTTGGATAATGACAAATCAGACAGCAGCCCTCTGAAGTGTACGTTCATTACATCGCCCATGTTCAACCACTGGCTTTTGATCTTGTACCATTCGCAGGAACAGCAATAACTATGTACTGCTGGCTAACTAGATAACATTTAGACAGTCTGTAGACTGTAAATTTGTACTCAAGTAAGAGTATCCTCATTTTAAGGAAAAGTAATATTTTGAGAAACTACAACTTGAGTTTAGATGGGAAATGTATTTCATATTCATGAGCTAAGGTAATCATAGTGGAAAGAGTAACCGACCTACTATTACACATTAAAATATATTACTCATGCTGGCGTCATGAAGGCCCCTCAATCTGTGTATCATTCGTTCATTTGTTTTTCAATATAAAACCAAAAATAAGAGAACGAAAAAACAACTATTTGCTTCATTATTTGTCTCCAAAACCAAAATGAAAAAAATGGATAGCAATTAGTTTTGTTTTTTTTTCATTTTTTGATTTAGTGTTTAAATCAATAATGGAAAAATGTTTTAAAAAGTATAATGGCCGTTTCCTATGACTTAAACTGCGATGCTGGACTGAAACAAGTCTAAACCGGTCTCAGTCCTAGTCTCAGTCCTAGTCTCAGTCCTAGTCTCAGTCCTAGTCTCAGTCCTAGTCTCAGTCCTAGTCTCAGTCCTAGTCTCAGTCCTAGTCTCACGGAAACGGGAAACGGCCGTTTCCGTGACTTAAGCAAAATGACATAATTGAAAAATGACAAAAAGGAATCGTTATCCGTTTTTTCATTTTGGTTGTGGAGAGAAATAATGAAGAAAACTGTTGTTTTTTCGTTTTCTTATTTTTGGTTTTATATTGAAAAACGAATGAACGAATGATACACTGAGTCCCCTCCTATATGAATAGCCACAGATCATGCTAGCGAGTAGCAGATTTTTTTCCATTTGTACCAAAATGACTGATTAAAAAAATATAATTGGAGAATGAAGTAAGTAGAGTGCATAGCGTCTTGAAAATAAGCAATTCAAGATTGCTCAAACATGCTCCACTCCAAATACAACTGTGTGGGGAAACAACTATTACATGGTTAAAAGCTTTAATGAAGATTTTGCCTAACAGGTCTGCTTTAAAATAAGCAAATAAATGAAGGTAAATGTAACAGAGTAATAGACACTTCTGCATTTAGACACCAAACACAAAAACTGGGAGAAGTTAAGTGACTACTCTTCTACCATTCTTCATCCATGGATTACATAACTACATCAACTTTTTTCATTTCTGTTTTCAAATTAAAACTTGAAGCAATTATTAGGAAGTGCACACCTACAGGTCAGTATCAGACACTAATTGGCCTCTTTGTTCTGAAAGTTTTGATTTACCCTGGCAAAAACATTTGGGAGGTACTTTTGAATAGGAAATAATGAGCAATGTTGGTGTAGTGAAAACCGTTAAATGCTTCCAGCTATACAGCAACCATGTTTAAATGTTTAATGTTATTGGGTTTGTTTGTATTTTTGGATAATTTTACCAACAATGTACATTCTTCTACAAACAGTACATAATTGTTTCGTGGTTTGTCAGTTCATGGTTCAATATTTTTTTATAATGTAGTGCATTGACAATTATCCATTTAAAAAATCCTTCCCTGTAGGGTAGGATGATGCATAACCTTAGCGCTTTTTGTAAAACTGAAAAAGCAGGTCCTTAAAAGAAGACAAAAGAAAGCAAAATATTTTACTGGAGACCTGTTTAGCCCGGATGTGCAGCCATTTTTGCTACATTCAGTCATCCAAGTATATGACTACACACCAGTGTTCACTGTATGCATCACTACCACACAGCCATGTTTGAAAAGAGCACCTACTTCACTGCTTCTTGAAATAAAAATCCTTCAAGACTGAAATGGTGTCTTTTCTGTTAAACAATATAGCCTTAAAGAAAACACATATGCTCAATTTCAAAAGTCAATCTAATGTCTAGTTTCAGTAATGAGCTTTCTTTGTTTACAAACAGCTGTATTGCAACATTTCATTATATTTCGCTTTTATTGAACATAGCTATAATATGGGTTGTGAAATTACTATGTCAGTCTGGAGTTAAGAAGGAAGGCAGTAAAAGCAGCAGCTGAACATGCACTGAATACTGAAGTAGAAACGGACACCTAGTCTTTTATTCCTTTCTCAAAGCAATCTTGTCATACATTTTTTCTATTGATTTTGCTTTATGTTAACTAACCCCTTCTCTGTAGATTATGACATGACATGAGCAGTAAAGAGAAAGAATACTTTGAAAATGTACATAGTTAGATGGTTCAATAAGAGTACTGCATTACAAATACTTTAAATACTTTTACATTGAGTTGCATTTAAATTATAGTATAACAACGTGACACAGGATTATAAACCACTTTATGTTTGCTGCACAGTTATGCTATGCTTTTTCTGTCACTAATTGGAGAAGGAAAAATCACACATGCACTCACCACAAGAGCTCTTTTTTTCCATGTTTTTTCTCACTAATTCCTTGCAGTTTGAAGTCTAAATTGTGTGATGAAGTACTGCAATATATGCCTTTGATTTTAGGAAAGCGTATACTGAATACCACTAAATGAAAAAGTGACTGTATTGGAAAATTAGTCACAGTTTCAATATGTATTTTTGGTACATGCATTCAGTTCTACTTCCCAACACTGCAACACATGTATTCCAACAGATCTAGGTAAACTGGCATCTGGGAGAATTGAAAGACAACTAAAATTTTAAGGTCCTACATTACACAAAATGGATTGTGAGCTTTAAGATATGTTAAAATGTTTTTACCTCCTCAAAAACATACCCAGAGTTGTGGTTTGTTTCATTCAAACATGTTTGAGTAATCCTGTATTATTAGTCTGTCTACATCTCCAAATATTAAAATGCTTTGTTAGACCCTGAGATGTCATGAAGCAGTAGTTTAGTTAACAGCTACTTTTTATC